GTTAATTTGTCCTCCTGGTGTGTAAATCCAGCAGAGATGCTTTTCCTTTTTCCCCTCTTTCCATCCCTCTCACAAACAGGATCCCAAGTGTCCCCAAACTTCCCTGGATGGATCAAATTCAAGGAGCAGCCTTGAAACCCCCCAAGGGTGTGGTCCTGGCATTCCCAGTATCACCATCAGGCATTTGCAGGCAGCAGGAATGACTTTGGAAGGTCATGGCTCTTCCTGAATTCCCCAACTTCACAATTTCAGGGTTTCTGAAGGATTGTGAATCCAAGAGCAGGCGTGTTCCCAGGGAATGAAAGTTTATGTGGACATAACCAACCTGTAATTAACTCAGAGTTTTATTTTCCCCTTAATGAGTTCACCCAGCAGCTTTCAGAAAAAAATCCCTGTGTGGTTTTGGCTTCCCTTGAAAGCCTTGGGAAGAGAAACTTGGGGAAGTGAGGATTTAGAGTGAGACTCTCCATGCTTGGCAAGACCTGGATGAGACTAGGATGAATTTTGGGATGCCTTGTGCGGTCAGGAGCAGGAGAAGATGGTTCCAGCTTGGAAAACAAGTGGAAAAACAGTAGAATGGGATTCCTGGTGGCCTCCAAGGGATGGAATTTGGAGCTCCATGTCCTCTCTGAGCTTGGTTTCTTTTAGGTTCCCATTTTCCCTATATTTTGAGGGATTTTTCTCCATTCTCTGGGATTTCCGGTGGCCTCCATAGGTCAGATTTTAGGGATCTCCTTGTATCTCCTCTGAGCTCATTTCCTTTTAGCTTGTATCCCCATTTTCCAAATATTTTGATTTTTTTTTTTCTTTCTCCAGGATTTTAAGTGGCCTCTAAGAGTCAGATTTTAAGGATCTGTTTGTTTCCCCTCCAAGCTCATTTTCTTTTAGTTCGTATCCCCATGATCCATATTTTTTTCTGCTTCCTTCTCATCCTTGTATTTCCCACCTTATGGCTTTGCTCCGCACCTCTCTTTCCCTCTTGCCATCTGCTGCAAGGGTGATTTCATCTTCCAAGCACCTGGAATTTGATCCATCTTTATTTTGGAGCCCTCCCATCCCGTCTGTTCCCTGGATTGCTCTCCCAGCAGCGCTTCCAATGAGCAGGTGGTTGAGGAAGGCTGGGAGTTTTCCTATATTTATCCATAGAATTCCTTTGTTGTGTTTGTGTTAGGAAATCAGGGATTTCCTAACCCCATAAAACTCCAAAACTTGGGAAAAACCTGGTGTTTTGGGTTCCTGGATTCCAGCCAAGGGGGCTGAGGGAGGGGGAAGGTGCTGCTTTGGGATACCTGTGCCAGGGAATTTTACCCAAATCCTTGATATTTTCCAGGAGGACACCAAAGCAAACCCCCCTCAAGGGCCACCAGTGGGGCTGGAAGACTCCTCCAGGTTAGTTGGGTCATTTATTGGACTATTTTTCTTCCAGGGAACTGGAATTTTGTCCTTTTTCTTCTCCCTTTGGAGCTGCACAATCCTGGTTTTTCCTGGGTTGTTGGTGCCTTCCCGGAGCAGCTCCTCCACATCCTGGTGTTCTCAATGACTTCAAAGCTTTCCAAAAAACATCCCAAGTAGAATTTCACGCTCCATCCTGGGATTTGAGGGTGGAAAGGGAAGTTCCAGCCCCATCCACCCTCCCCAGTCAGCAGGTTGTGATTGCTCAGGTGCACATTCCTACATAAATTTGGGAAAGTCCTGGTGGGAACAACCACCCTCCCAAATCCTGGGAAAAGGCTGTTATTTCCCTCTAGATCCTGGCCGTGATAGGAAGCAGAATTCCTAAAGCTGGTTAATCCTCTCTGCCTCTTAAAAATTCCCAGTGAGAGGCCTCTAATAAAACCTTTGGAGGGAAGGAGCTGATCCCAAAATTTTGCCTTCTGACTCATGGATCTGCTCCCTGCCAATGGGACTGGGGGGCTGAGCGTGTTTTGCAGGATGATTTTCGCTAAGGAATTTAATGAGGATTGAGTAACGTGTGTTCCGGTGTGGAAAAAGCATCTGGCTCCTGAGGTTTGTTTTTTTTTTTGGGAACTTGTTTCCATCCCAACACAGCTCAAAGGCTTTCCTTGCTTTGATGTCCCACAGCCTGGTAATTAATTGTCTGCCTAGATTAATTTATAGAGAGGGGCCAAAATTCTCACTTCCTGTTGTAGAAATTTCAGCATATTTTGGCTAAAAGCAGGAATTCTCTATTTGGAAGTCCAGGAAGAATGATCATTATCCTGCTTGGGAGAAGGAAACTGGATTTTGAACTCTTTTTTTTGTTTTTTGGGGAAGGATCAGGGCAGCTGGCTGTGCTTCCAAAGGGTTCCTGCTGGAGGAGCTGGGAAAAGCAGGGAATGGATCTGACCCATGGCTTCAGTTTAAAATCCTAGTTTCCTCTAGGACAGACCAGAGGATTTGGTTGGGAGGTGACAAAGATCCAGAAGGAAAAGCCCCAGGTTTCCCTGTGGGAAAGTGACACCATCACCTCAACATTAAACTCACGGAATTCTTAAGATCGGAAAAATATCCAATGTCGCCTCTAAACCAGGTCCCAAAGCACTGCATCCACAGGTTTGTGGAACACTTCCTGGGATTCCTGGGCAGCTTCTTCCAGTGCTTGACCACCCTTTCCGTGGGGCCTTTTTTCCTCTTACCCCACTGAAATCCAGCCTTTAGGCTCAGCCTAAGGAGACATAAGCTTGGTTTAGGCTGTGCTGCTCTTTCCTCATTCTTATTTTGCTTGACATTTCTGGAATATGAACAACTTAAAGACTCACATCTCCCTGCCTGGCTTGGAGAAGCCTCAGGGGAAATTATAGGGGCAGGCTGGTGCTTTATAATGGCTGAAAATCCCACAGAATTCCCAAAGATTCACCTGAGCTCTGTGCTGAGCAGGGGAACACTCCTGGATTCCTCACCCATATGGATGGTGGAGATCATGGATCTGGACATTCCTTGTCCTGTTGTATTAATGAGGTTCTTTCCCTCCCCATTCCCCATTGGAATCATCCCCACATTCCCAGGAGTTGTGTCCCATCTGCCTCGCTTTCCTGTGTGTCCATGACTGACCTGATCCCTTCCTTTGTGCTGTTGGTGCTGCCAAACCTTTTCTCCTGGGTTTCTCTGGGAATATTTCCTTAGGACCTCCCCTGTTTTGTGTGGAGACCTTGTGGTTCTGCTCCTTTGAGCTCTCTCATCCCATAAAATCCAGCTTGGATTCATTGGTTTCATTCCCTGCTGCCTTGGGGTGTCTCCATCTGCACTGCTGCCATGGTTGGAGGGAAACGAGGGAGCAAGTCCCTAATTTGGGATGGAAGAGGGGAATGCTGGTGGTGAGAACTGGCTGTGATGTCGTTGTAGATCCCAGGACGAATCCCAGAGAGCAGGACCTGCAGTAGGAGAGCAGCTCTTGGAGACCCAGAATGGAATCAGGGTAGGGAAACTGGGGGGAAATCCCAGACCTAATCCTGCATCTCCTCCTCCTTCACTTGGGATTTGGGGTAACCCCTGTCCTCTCCCAACATCTCTTCCCTTATTCCTGCTTTCCCACAGCTCCCAAGTGTTGCTGGTGGGGTTGCATCCCCCTCTGGAGATCCTTTGGAGAGGAATGTGGGGCTCACAGCTGTGAGGGAGACTGAGGAGAAGGAGCTGGATCCCCCTATCCCACAACAGGAAGAGGATTCCCAAGCCCTGAAACAAAAAGGAGGGAAGAAGCAGGAGGAAAACAAGCAGGAAAAAGGATTGAAGAGGAAAAGAGGGAAGAAGCAGGAGCAAAACAAGCAGGAAAAGGGATTGAAGAGGAAAAGAGGGAAGAAGCAGGAGGAAAACAAGCAGGAAAAGGGATTGAAGAGGAAAATAGGGAAGAAACAGGAGGAAAACAAGCAGGAAAAGAGATTGAAGAGGAAAAGAGGGAAGAAACAGGAGGAAAACAAGCAGGAAAAGGGATTGAAGAGGAAAACAGGGAAGAAACAGGAGGAAAACAAGCAGGAAAAGGGATTGAAGAGGAAAAGAGGGAGGCAGGATAAATCTGAGGATTTGATGGATGGCATTGAGGGGGACGAGGGCAGGAATTGGGAAGGGGGACAGGGAAGAGCCAAAAGACAGAGATGCAGCAGCCAGGGATGTGATGATGGGGAAAAAAAGCAGGAGACAGGGAAAGCAAAGAAGCCCAGGAAAAGGAAAGTGAAGGGGATGGGAAAGAGGAAAATAAAGAAGGAACAACTGCTGGAAGAGGAGCAAAAGATGGAGAAAGATGAGGAGGGAGAGGAAGAAGTGGGAGGTGAAGAGGAGAGAAAGGTGGGAAAGGGAAGTGGAGATGGAAAAGGAATAAAGGAGGAAGAGGTGGATGGGAAAGGGGAGGAAGGATTGGGAGAAACTAGGAGCGCAGGGATGGGGCAGGAGGTGAAGGAGGAGGAGGATGAAGGGAAGGGAGATGTTCCAGGGAAAGAGAAAAAGAGGAAAAACAAGAAGAAAAAGACAAAGGGGGAGACAAAAGAGACAAAGAGGGAAGAGGATAAAACCCCCGGGAAAACTGGGAAAGAGAAATCTAAGGAAGGAGAAGAAAAAAAAGAACAAAAGAACCTAAAAAAGACTAAAAAACAGAAAAAAGAAGAAAAAGAGGTGGAAAACAAATGGAAATGGTAAATTCCAGCATGTCTTTGGCAGGTCTAACCCTGGAACTGGGATTTTAATTATATTTTGTGGGGCAAAATGGTGAAAAATTCCTGCTTTTTGACTATTTTCCTGTATTTCCTTGAGCCTTGAACGTGGCACTCTTGGAAACGGGTGAGAGATAAGGGAAGGTCCTGAATGCACAGCAGGATTTGTATCATTATTATTTTTACATTTATTTCTAATATTTATTTCTTCTCCAATGATTTTCCTGGTGCCTGTCCTGGGAAAGGAGAAGCTCATAATTATTGGAAGGAAATAATAATAGTAATAATAATAACAATAATAATAGTAATAATTCCAAGACAGCAGCACCTGCACCAGGGAGTTGTACAGGGGCTGAATTCCTTCCCCACTTCCTTCTTCAGCAGATCTGGGACGATCCAGGCAGGTATTTTATAGGAAAAGACGTGGAATAATGTGGCTGCTGGATTATTTTCTGGCAGTGCGATTTTAACCACTTGGTGTCACTCTCTCCCAGATATCCCCAAGGTCCGGGACAGGGCGGGAGGATTTTTGGGATGCTTTTTGGGACCTTGTAGCAAACCCTGATCTGGGAGGAGCCATTATCCCAGACAGGGATTTCTATGGATACCTGGAGCTTTGAGGTGGCCCTTGAAGGATCCAGGGTGACGTGAAAAGTAGGATTTTCTATATTTTTTTTCCTAATCAATGCCATGTCTGGAATGGCTGGATCCCGGCACGGAGGAGAGAGGCTGGTACGTAGGAATTCTATCCCAAAAAACATCCACGGCTACATTTCCCATCAGGAAATTCCCGTGTGTCGCCGTCCTTGGCCTCTGGCTGGGTTCGGGGGGCTCTGGAAGGTGAGTGCGGGGGATCCTCTGCAGGGATTTGGGATGCCAGAATTTCGGGAAGAGAGACGATCACGAAATGATCCTGGCGCTGCCGTTCTCCGATGCTTTCAGCCCAAATTCCTGGACTTTGTAGGTTTCCCTCGACTGTTTAATTTCCTCTGTTTTTATAGCAAAACGCACTTTTGGATTCCACGGATTTATTCCTCTCTGCTTCCCATGGGGAGGGAAAAAAAAAATCAAATAACTTCCGGGGCACCGCTGAGCGAGAAACAGGAATTTTGCTTTCTCCGTATGGAATCTTGCTGTGTTTTCCCAGAAATCCATGGCTTTTCTTTTCTTTTATTTTTTTTTTTAATTTTTCCTGGAGATGCTGGGATTAAGGGGCCAGTGCCAGCCTGGCTGGTGCTGTCACCAGCGCTTTTCCCTCTGACCCTAACCTGTGGTTTTATCCCTCTTTTTAGAGTCCTGCTTTTCCGGTTGGATTTTTTGGACATTATTTTTTTAACTTTTAAATTTAATTCTATTGGAATTTTTATTGCTTTTTTTGTTGTTGTTGTTTGGGGTTTTTTTGGTGGTTTTTTTTTTTTAAATCTTCACAATTAAAACTTGTAGTGGCTTTAAAATCCCACTTGCTCCGGCAGGGGGAAGACTCCTTAAGATCTTATTTGCATTAAAATCAAAGTTATAAATATTTATGAGGCCCAGGTTTCCCAGCGAAGCCCTGGCTGCCCCATCCCTGGGAATATTCCTTGGATTGGATGGGAGCAACCTGGATTAGTGGAAGGCATCCCTGCCCATGGAAAGAGGTTGGAAGGAGGTGGCTTTTAGGATCTCTTCACTCTCCCCCTGAGTTCTTCCATGTCACCACACCTCGATTTCATGGATTCCATTCCAGTTTACCTTGCTTTAAAGAACAGGGAAACTGAGGCAGCAGCAGAAAAAACAGGATTTCACATGGATTTGGGGCCAGCTGTCACTGCACTGAGCATTTCCCCAGTGTGACCTTGGGGGGAGACGCCAGATTTGGGATATTCTTATGGATTCCTGTGTGTCTGTTCCAGGTGGGAAGAGGAGAAGAAGGAAGGTGGAGTCAAATGGATGCAGCTGGAGCACCGAGGGCCCTACTTTGTGCCCCTCTACGAGCCCCTGCCTGAGGATGTGCAGTTTTATTATGATGGTACGGCTCTGATGGGATCTGGGGCTTGGGCTGGTGCCCTCTCCTTAGGGAAGATGAATATCCCGTTGGAAAAGCCATGGGATGAAGCTGGAGGATCTTACACGTGGCTGGAATTACGGGGATTTGGGGGAGCTGATCCTAATGGCTGTTTTTTCTCACTAAGCTGCATTTTGGGTTTGAGCTTTGTCAGCTCATGCATGATTTCCCACAAGCTGGAAAAACGGGATTTTACTGATCCATGGCCTCAGTGACTGACACATCCAAGGATTTGGCAGGGTTGCTCCAAGATCCTGATGTCCCCAGGGTCACCTCACATCACCTTAGAGCAGCTCAGGGTGTCACTGGCAGGACAGATCCAATAGCCAAATTTTGCCTCCGTGTTTTCCTGCCATTCCCACTGGGTTTCCCACCATTCCCTGCTCTCAGTTCATCCCTGAGCTCATTTCTGATGGATCAAAGGGAGGGGGGAAAGAAGGACATTGGGGGGTCAGCCAAGGGATGCTGGAGATGGAAAGAGATCACATTCCCTCGGTGTTCCTCAGTTCCCTGTGATTTTCCATAATTTTTTTTGTAGGAAAAAGGCCACTTTGGGACAAGGGGGTGCCTGGCAGCACTGGAGGGCACTGCTGGGACATCCATGGGGCTCTCAGGGATTTTGGCTCCATGAGGAGAAGCCTTGACAGACTTTAGACCTTCTCTGTGATCTTTGAGGTGTTGTGGATCTGGGCTGGTGACTTTGGGATCTTTGTTGACTTTTTCCCTGAAAAAATGTCACCGTTCTTGGATGGAAAAGAGTTTGGCAACAACCCCAAGCAGCAAAAGGGATGAGTTGGTATGTGGGGGTTGTCATGGGGCTGCTCCAAGGCTTCATTCCCTTCAGTCCAGAAATCCCAAAAACTGGTGGTTCAAGTAGGAATCAACCATTCCCTGGACATCTGCAGAGGACTTTTTCCTAAAAAATAAGTTATTTCCAAGTAATTCCTAGGATGAGTCAAGATATTCCTTGGTTTTGTTGTATTTCTCCAGCCAGAGCTCAGGAGGGGATGGTGGCTTTGCCTCCAAGAAGTGATCCAAGATCCTTAGAAAAATCTAAGCAATAATCCAAGATTCTGCCCAGAGAAGCTGTGGCTGCCCCACCCCTGGAAGTGTTCCAGGTTGGACAGGGCTTGGAGCAACCTGGGATAGTGGAAGGTGTCCCTGCCTCTCTTTTCCCAGGAAAACCCTTCAAGCTGAGCCTGGCCACGGAGGAAATTGCCACATTTTATGCCAAAATGTTGGATCATGAGTACACCACCAAGGAGGTCTTCCAGAACAACTTCTTCCATGACTGGAGGAAGGTACATTCCCTGGGAGGGCTCCTTGATGTCCATCAAACCCATCAGCCCCAGGCTGTGGTGTGAAATGGAGGGAATGGGGGGATTTGTTCCTTATTTATAATTATGAGGCTCTAAATGCTGGTTTATTTCCTTGTTTTTTGTGGGTTTGGGCTGGGATTTGCTTTCTGCGCTCCCTCTGAGTTTTAGTGATGTGTACGGGTGGTGGATCTTGCAAACGGCTCCAAAACCAGTTTGGGACAACAAAGGAATGACCTCTGATCCCAGAACAACACAAAACTCTTTCTAGGGAATGTTTACACCTCCCAAATACATTTGGTGCTGTCCCTGCAGTTGTGTTTGGGGATTTCTTTTCCTGTATTAGGTTCTTCCACCCCTGAACTGTCTTTTTTCAAAGAGCTGGAATTTGGGTCTCTATTCCCTTCTCCAAGGACAGGCACAAGCAGCAGCTCCATGTGGAATCAATGTTGAATCCTGGCTTTTCCCAGCTCCTCTCCTCTTTCCCAGGAAATGACCTCAGAGGAGCAAGAGATAATCAAGGACCTGGACAAATGTGACTTCAGGGAGATCCACAAATATTTTGTGGACAAAAATGAGGCCCGGAAGGCGCTCCCCAAGGAGGAGAAGCAGGTGAGGAGCTGGTTCCTGTGACACGTTTTGGGTCCAGTTTTGGGTATTTTGGCTCTTCGTTGTTGTTTTTTCTGGTGTTGTGCCCTGAGCTTGGACTTCTTTAATCCAGCTTTGTCTCCATGGCCATTGCCCCCCTCTTCCTGAATTTTATCAGCAGATCCTGCACATTCCATGGCTTTGCAGGGTGCCAGTCATCCTTGGATCATGTTTTGGAGTCCTTCCCTGTCCAGAGGATTGTGGACTTTGCCAAGGGAATGATGGCCCTTTAGACTTCTTGGCTGGAATGTTAAAGATCCTTTCCAGTCCAAACCATTCTGGGGTTTTTTTTGTGGTGTCCTGGTTTCAGAAGCTGAAGGAGGAGGCGGATAAGATCCAGGAGGAATATGGATACTGCATCATGGATGGGCACCGGGAGAAGATTGGCAACTTCAAAACAGAACCTCCAGGGCTCTTCCGTGGCCGTGGGGAGCACCCCAAAATGGGGATGCTGAAGAAGAGGATCATGCCTGAAGATGTCATCATCAACTGCAGCAGGTGGGCTGTCCTTGAAAGCGTTGAGCTCTTGGGGCTTCCTCTGCCCACAGTTGGGGTTTTTCCATCTTCTAAAATCCCTGTTTTCCATATCCTGAGAGTCTTTTTCCCTCTGAGTTCTGTGAGCAGGACTGGTCTTAAGCCACCCATTTGAAGACCTTGATTTAAAACATCCCACATCAGTCCAGCAAGTTTTCCTCCTGTTCCCAGCATCCAAGTGATAAATTCCTGATTGTGGGAAGGGTCTGGAGCACCAGGAGCAGCTGAGGGAGCTGGAGGGGCTCAGCCTGGAGAAAAGGAGGCTTGGAGTGGGGGACCTTCTACAATTCCTTGACAGGAGGGTGGAGCCACATAGGGCTTGGTCTCTTCTTCCAGGAAAAAAAAATTGTAGAAGAGGAAATGGCCTCAAGTTGTGCCAGAGGAGCTTTAGGTTGGATATTAGGGAAAAATTTTTCCACAGAAAGTATTGTCAAGCACTAGAAGAGGCTGCTCAGGGCAGTGGTGGAGTCACCAGCCCTGCAGGGATGTGAAAGCTGTGTTGATGTGGCACTTGGGGACATGGTTTGGTGCTCGTGGCAGTGCTGGCTCATGACTGGACTCGATCTTGGAGGACTTTTCCAACTTTAAAAATTCCATGTTGTGGAGTAATTCTAGGTGGATTCCATGTTTTCTCAATGTGGTGACCTTCCTTGGCTCACTGAAAACTTTGTTCTTCATGGTCCAAGGGCTCTAATCCTGCTGTCTCCACAGGGATTCCAAGATTCCCGAGCCCCCGGAAGGTCACAGGTGGAAGGAGGTACGCTTTGACAACACGGTCACCTGGCTGGCTTCGTGGACAGAGAACATCCAGAACACCTTGAAGTACATCATGCTGAATCCCAGCTCCAAGCTGAAGGTTGGAATGGTGCCCTTGGTGAGGTGAAAAAAATCTGGGAAAGACAGGATGTGGAATAGCAACAATTTTATTTTTCTTTTTTCTGGCGTTTCTCTTAAGAGTGGATAAACAAAATGAAGGTGTGAGAGGGAATGGACAGATGATTGTGAGGCATCCAACTTATCCCAAGGAATGGGTTGCTCCTGGCAGAGTCATCCTGGGGCCACGTTGCTCGTGTGTGTCCAGGGAAGGCTGCTGAAAGCCAGTTGGGGGCTGAAAGGAGCCACAAGGGCTAAGAAGATCCACAGGGACCAGAGCTGGGTTAATTTATACCAGGAAGTGGAGGGTAGGAAGAGAAGGGATTGAACTCTGTGGGAAGAGAAAGGGGATTTGAGGCTATTTCCAAGGGCTCAAGGAAAGTGGGAATGCTGCCCAGGTGGACACAAGTGAGCAAGTGCTCTGTCAGTCCACACTGGTGTTCAAGGAGCCACCTTTGGCCATGGTTTGACCATTTAGTCTTTTACCATGCTCTGGCTGGTGGAGAACACCTTGACTTGTCTAGGATCCAGATCCAACACGGCCAGCAGAGGGCACAGAAATCCTGGATGGGCTGTTTCTTTTCCAGTTTATTCCCTTCATGGATTTTCCCCAAGAAAACAATGGGGTTTGAGCAGGATTTAGATGCTGGAGGTGTTTCTAGAGCAGGATTTGACCAGAGCAGGTAGGGGTGGAATAAAGATGGGGCATGGAACAGGAAATATCCTGGTTTCCCATTCCAGGGGGAGAAGGACTGGCAGAAATACGAGGTGGCTCGGCGCCTGAAGGATGTTGTCCACACAATCCGGGCTCAGTACAGGAGAGACTGGAAATCCAAGGAGATAAAGAAGAGGCAAAGAGCAGTGGCCCTCTACTTCATTGATAAGGTATCCACAGCCTCACCCCAGTTCCCCATCCACGTGGAAGTTGGGAATTCACTTCCCTGATCCACCCCACTGTGCAGCTTCTGGCGTTTTCTGGTTCTGCCACCCAGGGTGGCTCCATATGCAGAATCTAGGGATGATTATGGAATCCTGGAATGGTTTGGTTGGATGGGACCTTCAAGATCATCTCATTCCAACCCTCTCCCATGGGCGGGGACACCTTCCACTTGACCGGGTGGCTCCAAGCCCCATCCAGCCTGGATTCAAATATTTCCAGAAGTGTGGAAGATGAAAATTGTCTCTAGTGAGGTGTCCCTGCCCACTGCAGGGGGTTGGAACCAAGTGATCTTGAAGGTCCCTTCCAAATCCTTCTATGAATCCATAGGTGGAGATGGTCCAATCTCCTCTAGTCCTGATCCACTTTAACAACCTGGAAAAGGGGGATTGAGGTGGACTGGCATGGGATAGATGACTCCTTATTTCCTTCCAGCTGGCCCTGCGAGCTGGGAACGAGAAGGAGGAAGGGGAGACAGCAGACACAGTTGGCTGCTGCTCCCTGCGTGTGGAGCACATCCAGCTGCACCCCCAGCTGGATGGGCAGGAGCATGTGGTGGAGTTCGACTTCCTTGGGAAAGACTCCATCCGTTACTACAACAAAGTGTCCGTGGAAAAGCAGGTGAGGGGGGCAGGAATAAAGGAAGTGCTTGGTTATCTGGATTCTCTTGATGTTTACCAGTCCCAAATTTCCATCCAAAACCTGCTACCAAGGTGTGCTTTAACCCTGGAGAACAGGAGAAATTTTGGGATAGAACTTCCAAGGTTGTTCTACCCTATGAACCACGAGGGAGAAGTCCCACCTCTTGCTGGAGCATCCTCAATTATCTCGTGAGCATCAGGACTTGAGATGTCTCCATTTATATTGAATGATTTTCCTTTGCCCTTGGGAAAGAAGATTTTAATGGTGTTTGTGGAGAAACTGGAATGTCGGAGATGGGAAATGTGTGTGGGGGAAACACCCAGTGGCACCTTGAAATTGAGAAGGTTGGTGGGATGTGCCAACACAAGGGTGAATCAGAGTCCATCTGGAGGAGGAGAGAGAGATGAGGGAGATGTCTGGGAGCAATTCATTCCTTGGCCCTGACTGGGGCTGTCCTTTCCTCCTCTTCAGGTGTTCAAGAACCTGCAGCTGTTCATGAAGAACAAGGACCCCACCGAGGACCTCTTTGACCAGCTCTCTGTGAGTGGTCACCTTGAAGCTTTCCAAACAGTACTGGTGGCCCTGAAGCCAAACCATGACACCCTTGGCCACCTTTGGTCATCCCTTTGCCTTATTTGACCTCTTGGCTCTCCAGGGGGACACCGTTGTCACTGTCTGAACACCCTGTAGGTTTTCCAGCCTCTTTCTGCACTCTGGAGTGTCTCTGCTTCCCTGTGTCCTTCCCCAATTCCCACACAGGGGAGCAGCTGGATTCCTGCTCCTCCCCTCCTCCAACTCACCCACTTGGGCTTTTTTTGAACCCTGGGAAGTTCTGCCCACATTTTGGGGAATTACTGGAGGTACCAGACCTCAACTTTTTGATGCTTATAGCCTCATTAGGGCTCTACAGAAGTGGGAGAGGCTGCTGGAGGGATGTGCTGCCTTCTTTCCTGGAAAAACTGCCTCCTTTGCCTTCCTTGGGATGGGATGTGGGTTTGATGAGCAGACCCACGTTCTCTGCAGGACAGGGATGTGATATTGGATGTGAGATCAAGAATGATTGCTTGGAAAAGACCTCGGAAGATCACCAAATCCAAGCATTAACCCAGCACTGCCAGGTCCACGACTAAACCATGTCACCAAGTGCCTATGTATGTCCTCTTGGACATGGATGGGCAGAAATTGTTGACTTCCAGAGAGGTTTTTTTTGGTGGATTTAGGTGGAATTTTAGGCCAGTGTTGGGTAGATGATGACCTGACCCCACAAGTATCTCTACAAGCTGCAGGAGTTAATTTTTTGTTAATACCTAATTTTGGTGGCTTAGGCAGAAAATTATCTAAAAAGAGATTTGTCCTGGTTTCTGCTTGTTCTATTCCTTTGTGGAATCAGAGTGGTTTGGGTAGGAAGGGACCCCAAAGACTGTCAAATTCTGAATCCTTGCCATGGGCAGGGACACCTTCCACTATCCCAGGTTGCTCCAAGCTCCACCCAACCTGACCTTGAGCAATTCCAGGGATGAGGCAGCCACAGCTTCTGTGGGAATTCCATTCCAGGGCCTCACCAGCCTCGCAGGGAAGAACTCCTTCCCAATATCTTATCAAACCCTTTGTCAGTTTGAAGCCATTCCTCCTTTTCCTGTCACTAGAGCTCCTGCTGTGAGTTCCCTCTCACTTTTCCCTCTTTTCCCTCCTCCAGACAAACTTCCTGAACAGACACCTCCAGCACCTCATGGATGGTTTGACGGCCAAAGTCTTCAGGACCTACAACGCTTCCATCACCCTGCAGGAGCAGCTCAAAGCCCTCACCAACCGTGAGTTCCAGTAGTTGTGGTGTCGGCAGAGCATGGGGGGGACCAAAGAGCATGGTGGGCTCAGGAATGTCCATCCTTGGGATCCCTAATACTGCCCATGTCCCACCTGGGTAGGTGATGCTTCACACAGCGGGGTGGGAGTAACAAATGAGGGTGAGCAGCAAGTCAGGGATGTTGGTAAGTGAGAAACTCGGGGATGCTCTAACTGATGGCCAGGATAGGAATATTTTCCCCTCTTTTCCTTGTGTTGCTGGTTGGTTGGGCTATTTCTGCCTCCCTGGGTATGTGAGGGATGAGTCACAGCATCAGATTGTGATGCTCAGTTATCCTTCCCCAATTCCCACAGCCATTATTGCCCTCCCTGGAGAGAGAATGCGATGGCATTTTTTGCCTTTCCTTCTGCTGTATTCCCTGCTTTTCCCGACTCCTGGAATGGAGTCAGAGTGAAGTTTTCATTTCTTTCCAGCTGAAGACAACGTTGCAGGAAAACTCCTGTCCTACAACCGGGCCAACCGAGCCGTGGCCATCCTGTGCAACCATCAGAGGTCCATACCAAAGACCTTTGCCAGGTCCATGCAAGTCCTCCAGGAAAAGGTGAGACAGACCCAGTTGAGAGATCCCAGACCTAATCTGGCCTCTGAGTTTTATTTTTGGGCTGGGGTGATGTCTGAAGGAATCACCTTGGTCAAGAACATCAGGGAATGTCCTGGGAATAGTGGATTGCAACCCAGGGGTGGGGAGGGATGTGGTGACCTCAAATGCTGGAGGAAGCAGCTTGGCACAGAATTTGGGTGAGTTTTTATGAATTTGGAGCATTTTTCAAAACTCTCTGTCCTCAAACCAAGCTGGGGGCCTTTTGTGATGGCAGCTCTGTCCCAGTTGGATCAAGATCAGGGAAATTGGTTTTTCTGTCTTTCTTGTAGGAGGAGCAGGGTGAAAATATCATAAATTACCACTTTTAATTGTCCTCAGGTTTTGCTCACACCCTATTGATGGGCTGGGGCTTTTCTGAGGGCTCTGGTGCTGTCATAAGTCCCTCAGTCTCAGGCAGGTGCAGAAGATAAACAGATTTAGGAGCTCCAAGCATTTGTGGCACCTGGGCTGGGATGATATTTTAGAAGATGCAAAAAAAACGTTTGAGCCCATAAAATGCTGCAGGGGAAAATGGGGAAGTAGGGTTCCTCAAGAAATTGAGGAATGGTGTGTGAAGGAAAAGAGGGAGGAAACTGAAACTTTCAGGGAGGTTGGAAGTGTTGTCTGACTTTTTCACCTTCACAGATTGATGCCAAGAAGAAACAAGTGGAGGAAGCCCAGGAAGAACTGAAAAAAGCTGAAGAGGAGTTTAAAGACAAAAGCGATGCCAAAGCAGAAGAGTGAGTGGCTTTTCCTTGGAATCCTCTCTTGAAGAAGGATCCAGAGGACTCATGGATCCTGTCAGAACAGAAATGCCCATGTTTGGGATTGGGCCCTTCTTGTCCCATGAAAGTCTGGAAGATGATCAAGATCTTGTGGATGGTTCCCTTCAGGGACACGTCCTACTCTCCCAGGTTGCTCCAAACTCTGTCCAGCCTGGCCTTGGACACTTCCAGGGATCCAGGGGCAGCCACAGCTTCTCTGGGCAACCCATTCCAGGGTGCTGGATTTTGTTTGCCCACCTCTGGTGGTGGAAATTCCATTTCTTAGTGTTAATTTTTAATATTAAAAAAGCACCTCACCAGATCCAAGCCCTTGAGAAATGGGTTAGTGCTGAAAGGCCCCTTGGACTCTGCAATTCCAGGGAATTTCTGGGCTTTGGGACATTGTGTTGTTCCTTCTCTGCCCTCAGCAATGTGGAGAAGAAGAAGAAGCTGTTGAAGAGGCTGGAGGAGCAATTGGCCAAGCTGAACATCCAGGCCACGGACAAGGAGGAGAACAAGCAAATAGCTCTGGGCACATCCAAGCTGAATTACCTGGATCCCAGGATTAGCGTGGCTTGGTAAATCGTGGGTGTGAAATCATGGGATGGGGCTGGAAAGGACCTTAAAATCTGTGGTGTGCAATGGGCAGGGACACCTCCCACTGTTCCAGGTTGCTCCAAGCCTCATCCAACCTGGCCTTGGACACTTCCAGGGGTGCAGTAGGAAGGAGGCTGCGGGATAACTGGTCCCCACTGGTGTCTTGTGGTTTGCGCAGGTGCAAGAAATTTGGGATTCCTATCGAGAGGATCTACAACAAGACCCAGAGGGAGAAGTTTGCCTGGGCCATCGACATGGCTGGCGAGGACTTTGAATTCTGAGCTGGTGCCTTCCACATTAAATCCCAAATCCTGCTCATTTGGTGCTGCTGGGAAGCTTTTTTTTTTTTTTTAATTTGCTGCTGCTGGGGGCTGAGGGTTGTCTGAATGTGGTGCCTTTTGTATTTTGTATGGAAAACCAAACACCTGGATTTGCAGTTGAAACAGGTATTTCTGATTGGGATTTTGGACTTTGGGAGCTCTTAATTCATCTACAGAGCTGCCAAGTACTTGGGATTTTTTTCTTTCTTCCTCTGGAGTCTTGGAAGGAGATTAAATAAGAGCCTTAATTGTGCTGATCAACAAGTCAGCAGGAAAACGGGGAACTGCAATATAAAACCCAGGACTGGGTTAGGAATACACTGGGGGGAAAGTCAAAAATCTCAGGGTTTGACATTTTGGGGGACTTTGTGCCCTTTCACCTCCAGGAGAGGAGAAAGTTGTGCAATTGCAGGGATATTAAATGGAAAAAACGTGTGAGGGAATTTGTGTCATTTCAGGAGAAGGCAGAAGAGAAGATGTTGGATTTAAAAGCAGTTTCATGTTGCAGGGGGTTAAAATTCACCTGAATTTTGGTCATGAGCAAAGTGTATTTTAAGCCCCATGTGGTTTAAATTTTTGTCTGGGAGAGGACATCTCGCTTGAGGCCATGTGTATTTCCTTATTTTCTTCACTTGGCTCTGGCTCAGCTCCTGTATCCAGAGCAGGAACTGAACTGTCCAGACAGAGGTTTAGGAACTGGGGAATCTCCTAGGAAATGGGATAATGCTGGGCCAGGCTCCGTGGGGTGTGTGATCAGTATTCCTGGAGTTGCTCCTGTGTTGGGATGGCACCTTTGGCATCATCCTTCCCACTCTGGGAATGGAGCAGGCAGGGATTAACAGCATAAACTGGTTGTGTTTGCTGCTGAACTGGCTGCTTTCCACATCCCAAAAAAGGCAGTTATCAGCACATTCCTGGCAGAATTCCCACATCCCAGAGAGTCCCAGGTGTGAGCAAACTGTTGCATTGGCAGGAAAACCCTCTGGCACCTCAGGGCTGCTGTCCAGGGCTCTGTATTCCAAAGCTCCTGGTGCTTCCCATGTATTTATTTCCACTCATTCTCATGTTGAAATTGTTGCTGTTTTGGTTGGAAATGGAGGTCTTGGAATGCATTTCATTAAAACTGGGAGTGGTTTATTTTTTCTGAGTATCCATGACTGGAGGCTTTTTGAAACTCATTCCGTGTGTGGTTCTGGGTGTTGCATCCCTGGAAGTGTCCAAGGCCAGGTTGGGTGGGACGCTTGGAGCAACCTGGGATAGCGGGACATGTCCCTGCACATGGATGAGCTTTAAGGTTCCTTTCAATCCAAACCACTCTGGGATCCTCTAAAATAAAGGAGTAATTCCAGAAAGGCTGGGTTGTTGCTGTCCCAGATAGTCATGTCCATCCTCACCCTGTTTTTCCTGCAGGACTCCAAGTGTTTCTGGTAATATTCCACAGACATTTCCCATGGCCCAATGTCCAGGAGCTTTTCCTACTGCTCAGAACCCCGTGGAGCAGGATCATACTCCTGTCCCAGAGAGGAGCATCCCTCTCCCACCCCAATAATTTGGGGCTATTTGGTGGCTCCAAGCAATGCTGATGTTCTCGGATGACCCCTCCTCACTTTGGCCCTTTCCAGGCATGGGTTCAGCTCCATTTTTCCAATGTTTTTTCTGAAATCTTTATCCCTGGAAGTGCTTAAAGAAACTTCTGGAAATGGCATTTGAAGATATGGTTTAGTGATGAACGTGGTGGTTGGACTTGATGATCCTAAAGGTCTTTTCCAGCTTTCTATTATGATGCAGGCAGAGCAAAACCTGTGTTTGATGCCTTTGGTAACCCAAGATCATGACAGCATTTGGTGAAATTCAAAGTCAAAAGTTTAGCTTTTTTCCATTGTGATGACTTCCCCTTTTTATTTAAAAAGGGGAACTTGTGGTTTGTGACAAAACCAGAAATGACACCTTCCCCTGTGACTTCTTGGTTGCCTAAATTGCTTTTCATAAATGCCTTTTTTTTTATCTCTGTGGGTGGGAGGAGAGCTCCCCAAACATCTACCAGGGACAAAGATGACTGTTCAGGCTGGTACTGGATCAGTTTAGGGGTGTTCTAGGTACAGAGAAGATAAATTTAGGGGTGGGAGAAAGGGGTGAGAAGTTCCTCTTGTCTTGCTTTGGTATCTGCTGCTCTTTCCCAGACTCTTCCCAGAAATGCAGGGTTGGGAGGGGTCTCTGGAAGGCTGGAGTTCAACCCTCTCAAAAGAGACTCGGCTCTGGCTGGGTCATTCAGGGTTTTAATTTCAATGTTTCTGTGGAGGGAGATTCCTCTGCCGTCTCTCAGGGTCATTGTTTCGGAAATGAATCACTGCCCTGGCAAAGCTTTTCCTTCCCTATGTCTGGTTGGAGTTTTTGGAGTTTCCCTTGGTGTGTCTTGGAAGTGGCTGCTTGTCCTTTGTGCAGAGCCCCATTATCCTTGGACACAGCTCTGTAATTGTCCCAGTTAAAGGCAGCAACTCTCTCCTCAGCCTGTCCTGTTCCGTGGGTTCGTTTAGCCCCAAGTTCTGGGACTTGGAACTTAAAATCAAGGAACCATGGAATGGTTTGAGTTGGAAAAATCTTAGAAATCATGGAATTCAATTCCCTGCCATGGGCAGGGACACATTCCACTATCCCAGGTTGTTCCAACCTGGCCTTGGACGATTCCAGGGATCCAGGGGCAGCCACAGCTCTTCTGGGTAACCTCTGCCAGGGCTTCACCACCCTCACAGGGAAGAATTCCTTCCTCATGTCCCATCTATCCCTGCCCTCTGGCAGTGGGAAACCATTCCCTGTGTCCTGTCACTCCATCCCTTCTCCCAAGTCCCTCTTCAGCTCTCCTGGAGCCCCTTCACGTGCTGGAAGGAGCTCTGAGGTGTCCCTGAAGCCTTTTCTTCTCCAGGTTGGACATTCCCAGCTCTCCCATCCTGGCCCTACAGCAGAGCCTTTGGATCATCTCTGTGGCCTCCTCCAGCAGCTCCAGATCCTTGTGCTGATGATCCCAGAGCTGGATTCAGTGCCTCTGGTGCCTCTGTCTGAGGATGGCTGGGGGCTCTACAAGCTATTCCTCTTCCTCCTGGAGCTGTTTGAGCAGCTGGAAGCTCCAGTGGGATCCATCTTTGCTTCGGTATCAGCATCCTGGAAATCTGGGAACATAAAATCCATTGGCCAGAGCTGTGCATGTCATGAGCCTTCCCACGTCTCTCTCAGTGTCCAACAGATTCTTGGTCCTCATGGATGAAAAAAAACCTCATCAGCCTCCTGTTTTCCAGAGCCACATTCCGTAGTTTCAGGTTGGCAGGGCTCCTCCCCTCCTGGCCTACCAGATGATCTAAATCATGGAATCCTTTGTGTTGGAAAAGCCCTTTAAGTTCATCAAGTGCAACTGTTAATTGCTGCATTCACCACAAGACAATGTCCCCAAGTGCCACATTTCCATGTCTTTTACATCCCTCCAGGAATGGTGACTCAGCCACTCTGGGGAAGGGAACTCATCAGCTCTGCTTGGCTGCTCTCTCATCTGCTTCAAACTTAAATCAGCCAAAATTCCATCTCTCCTTATCTTAATTGGTGCTGAGAGGGAAGGGGAGGTGACGGAGCATTTGCTGCTGCTTCTCCCTTGCATCCAGTCCCTGGAGTGATGGGGATGAAGGGAAAACCACCCACCTGTGGCCTGGCAGCGGTGGAAAACCCCTGTGGAGTTTTGAGGAAGAAAAAGGTGAAGGATTTCCAGAGGGATTTTCCTCCCTGCCCTTCCTTCTCCTTGTGAGGTCTGATGTTGCAAAAATGAGGAGAAAAAAAAAGGGAAATACAGAACAGAAACTTTCAAGGGAATGTTTTGTTAGCTTGAGAGGAAAGGGAAAGGATATTTGAGGCTGTGGCTGCTGTCTCTGAACTCCGTGAATGGAGGCGTTTCCTCTTCCAACCTTTTTTAGTGGGAGACAAGAGCGTGGCTGTGGTTTGGCATAAATAAAACATGTGCTAGAAGAGCTCCCTGGATTTCTGTCCCTTCACACTCAGCCAGGCTCAGACGGATGGAAAATCAGCCTGAACTCCAGAGCCACGTGGTTGGAAGTGTTGATGCTAAGGAAAGCAACCTGGGAGAAATTGGATCCTTGGGATAAAACTGAAGAACTGGTTAATAAGGGGCAGTGGAAAGGATTCCAAGGAAGGATAAAACTCCAGGATCTCAGGTTTGTACCCGTTGAAGGAGGGCTGATGCTGGCTCTGGGGTGAGGATGGCTGCAAAAAACAAAACAAAACAGAACAAAATAAAGAATCGGGAAAAGCTCAGCTGAGTTGTCCCAAGCTCTGAGATTGGCTTCTCCAGACTTTTTTTCCTGAGCCATTGCAGGCTGGGGTAGGAGAAATCCCAATAAATTATTTCATTAATGTTCTTAATCCAAGTTGGGATTAAGCTGTAATTATGATTTGATTGGCTTGGCTCAGGAATAAAGCCTTGGGATAAAGGCTCTCCCAGCTGCAGGGAGGCTCCTAAATTCCTTCTGCTGCTGTGAGCCTGGAAGGAAGAGGGATCATGGAATCCTGGATTGGTTTGTGTTGGAAAGGACCTTCAAGATCATGGAATTCCATCCCCCTGCTGTGGAGGGGCTTGTTCCAAGCCCCATCCAACCTGGCCTTGAACACTTCCAGGGATGTGGCAGCCACAGCTTCTCTGGGAATTCCATTCCAGGGCCTCACCACCTTCATGGGGAAGAATTCTTTTCCAATATCCTATCCACCCCTGCCCTTTGGGAGTGGGAAGCCATTCCCCACTGTCGTTGCGAAACAAAATACCTCTTCCAAGTGATGTGCCATCTCTCCAGACTGTAGGAATTTCCAGAGGTTCCTTGGGATTGCCCTGTGTTGCAGGAGGCAGACAGCTGATTCCTTTCCAAAAAATGCCACGTTTCCAGGTGAGTGGGTGGTGTTTAGGCTGCCCCTCCTCTTGGAAACAGGGCAGACAATTTTCCTGGCAGGATGGGACAACAAGGAAGTCTCCAATCCCCCTCCCAGGGTCACTTCGAGTTGAATGAGTTCATTCTGTGGAATCTCTTCCATCTCTTTCTCCAGGTTCTTTGGGATTTTCTGCTTCTGAAGGCTGGATTTCCCAAAGTGGAGGAGAATGGGGTGGCAATTAACTCAACAGCTTTAATTTGGGCTCCAGT